GTACGCAAAAAGTAACAGTCATATATAATCTGTCAAGTAGCTTCCGTCATGCTGCTTGTTTTCCTCCAGAATTATGAAAAAATTATCAGAAATTTCCACTCACACACGGATGTACATAGGAATTTTCTAAAAACATCATATCCCGATGTTACATGACATTCTAAGTTGTTGCCAAGTAAAATCAGAGAATCATTAAATCCATTCATTACAAAGGTTCCATTTGGAAGCAAAATAGTAATTTTCGTCATTTTCCTCGGGGCGAGAGTGGACAAAATTCTCTTCATTGAAAATTGATTATTTGTTGTAATTGTAGAAAAAATCAGAAAAAATCAGAGACATTTCATGCTTTTTTATCATATTGCTATAAAACTTCGCTGATTTATTTGGAGAAATACGGATTTACTCGAAATATTGGAAGATAGATTCGTAATTTTCTTATGACACGGGGAATTTCATTGAATATTATCGCGTCATGCTATGAAATTACAACGAATTTCAAAATTTTCACAAATACTGTTGATCCATACTTTGTTCATTTTCAGGGGGTACCGGTGTGACATTATTCGATATTTGTGAAATTTGAGACAACGGAAGGTTTGCGTGTTATGGAAATATAGGTGACTTTCGACGTTAAATTCAAAATATAAATTCAATACACTTAGTGGTATCTTGAAAGACCAAATAATATAATATAATTTCCCCAAAAATAATATAAAGCCTTTATTCACGCATCTTAGGTCCGGAGGACTAAATAAAAAAATAGAAATCATAGAAAATACTTTCCTGAGAAATCCTTGCGTTCGGAAAAAGGCATTGGGCGCGAGGTAATTCCCCGTTTGTTGTCCCGTGTACTTGTACTTGATTTAAATTAATTACTTCATTTGTAGAGAGAGGACATTGCTCAGTAAAGAGAGAAGATTATCGAGTAACTGAGATATCTCTATTGTAGAGAATTAAAATTAAATACTTTTAGAAAAAAAAGCAGGGTAGAACTCCGATTCGGCAGCAGCCATGTAACTGTTCCTTCATGTGTTATTAATCTTTTTTTTTCTACCAATTCTATTGGTAATAAACTTCCGAATAGATCCATAGCAATTCCAATTTAAAAAATAAGAATCGGCAATTCTGCGGACGCGTCACGCTTTTGTATTTCTTTCATTATCTTTTTCGCCACAAAATCTTTTAATAAACATTCATTTATTATGGAACCGACTAATATTTAACAAAATGATATAAAATAGAAAGGAGCATAATTTAATGTCGAGTGACTTTTTTAATCATCATGACATGAAAATCATCGATAAAGTGACGATGTATCATTTATTAGAAAAATCGATTTTTAGATAGATGGCTCTATGCCATGATGTGCTGAATCGATCGACCCAAAATTTTGTACAGAAGTGACACCCGATAATACTAATTAGTAGCCAAAATTTTATGGGGTTCATTCCAACTATTACGCGGATTACGGGATGTCAAATTCACTATGAGATGAAAAAAATAGATAAACATGAATATCTCGGAAACGTTGTATGGACGGGTATTCATATTTTGATTGATCTCGATAAGCGGGAGCAAGACGAGTATTTTGAAAAAAAATTGATATTGGACCAGTGTATAGGAGATATTGAGCAATACAGTTTTTCACAAAAAGTTGAATATCTTCTAAATAACTCGTTCAATTTCGCCTACTCATGAAGTCATCTTGTAATATCATTAGAGCTACAATCTCACTGAATTTCAATATTCTATCTCAATTTTTTCGGGAGTTATCGTGTATATATCAATTTTATCATAATAATGAAAAATGCCGATTATCATCAAACGGTCCATAGTTTTGTACGGAGATTATGACTTGATTTGATAGATATTATTAGAAGGAACACCTTAACATTAAAAAAATTCAATGAGGTCACGTCGTTTTTGAGATATTAAAGAAAAACGATTTCTAAGAAATTGCTGTGTCTCAAAACTACTTGACCGATTGAGCTGAAACTGCACCCAGATATGATTCCAAATGGTAGAAACTATGTGACAAAATTTAAGATTTATAGCTGCAACTTTACTTGTCTTTTTGTTGAAATTTATAAAAAAATTTCGAATAATCTGCACACACATACGGTCATACATCCGCACATTTTCAAGTACAAGCGGTATAAGTTTTTAATATTTCTTTTCCCTCTACGTCCAATCGTGGACTTGAACGAATCCACTTCGTCACACCGGAAAAAGTCGTGGCTTTGGCTACCATTTTATGGATATTTTATTGTAAAAGTCAAACGGAAATGGTCAGTAGCAGTATTTAAAAATATTTCTAAAGGTTTTTTTCCTTTCAACTCGATCTCGTATATAAATTCGGATATAGAGTTCATTCGCTCATGTGCGAGCAGTTCAGAGTTGAATACTCAGTTGCATACAGTGGTTGGGTTGCACCAAAATCCATTGTAAATGGCAACAAAAATCAATAAACATATTGTGTTTTGGTAACAGTAACGGACGTATGTTTGTTATCAAGAATCGCAAATTTACGGAGACTTCTACCTATTTGTCATGTTGAAAGTATTTTGTTCCTTGATAGAGAAATTCAATACACCAAGGTTGTTATTACTCATTTCCGAAGGAATAGATTCACTTTAACAGACTCTTAGAAGTATTCGTAGCAGCTGCTTCCTGGTAATAAACAAAGCTCCGATGCCATTAACAAAACACAATGTGTTTATCGATTTTCATCATCGCTTACGACGAATTTGAGTGCCATAACAACGCTAATAGTAAACCTTACCGTTCTGAGTGTTGGGCAGATCCGCATTTGCAGACCAAACAGGATGTCAGATCGATCAATAATAACACGTATGAATACTGATGTTTTAGGAGAACTTACAAAAAATTTCGCTTTGTTCCTAGCCTCATGAATAAGTGATGTTAGGACAAACGATTCATCTCAACTGGAATTGTTTCAACTATAAATTACTTCTGTCGATATTTTCTAATAATTGTAATAATCCTCTTCATGAAATTCATTAATTGATTAACTACTTTGAATTTCATTTGAGGGAGAAAAACTGAACCAGCGGCTACATCGACAGAAAAATCTGGAAATTATCCCGAACAGACTACCAAGAAATATGTAGTACCGAAAGGAAAGACAACGGCTGTACTCGTTAAATGAGAATGGGCGTGTGAATAAATTTTGCAGTGGCTGAGTAACGAGCGGGGCTTTTGGTTACTACTTCCAACAGTCCAAAAACCCGGAGAACTTGTATGGATAGCAGAGAGAAATGCAGAGAACGACGAGAGGGTTGAGAATGTTCTACCACACATCAGAGCCTGGAAGAGAAACGTTGTATCCTAGGAGAAACTCTATACACAACAGCGAAGAGAAACTGGTTGGCATTAAACTCAAACACGCCGACAGGCGATGGAAGATGCTAGAATGAGTTCGATGCAAACAAGTATCGATTCCAATTAAACAAGAGAGTGAAACAAAAAACTGGAGATTCAGTTGAATCTAATTGCGAAGACTTTCCTGGCTCGTACGTTTTTATTTTCTTCTACTTGGTAAGGTTTAGCTCAGGCAGGATTGTCTCTGATTATTAATTTAGTCTCCTGATGTTTTATTTGTGTCTATAATGGTTACTTAATGCAAAATGAAAAAACACGCCCACAGTAGAAAAAAGCGAAGTAAATACCTCCCGTGTGGGACGTTAAATATTTCCGTGACAAAATGAACTCTTTCACTCTTCGTTTCAAGTCTATTTTTTATAGCATTCATGAACCTGATTATGGCAAACACAACAAATTCAAAATCAGCTGTAAATTCTGTAACAATCGTAAATGTTCATCAGGATGTAGTCTATGAAAACTGATTGATATTATTAAGGGCACTTAGTTTTAGATTTATTTTTAAACCGAAATATTGAATAAAATCATTGAGATACGTTGTGATGTTAGGAAATTCAATTTTTTTAAAAGAAAGATATGGGAGACTTTAAATATTCAAGAAAAGTATTCATTTGAACGATCAAAGAACAACAAATTTTCAATTCTTCTTATCACATGGGAATTCATTGCACAAAAATGTAAATTAAGGAAGAGCGAGGTAAAAGAGCGTAGAGGTATAAAATGGACAGTAAGGTGAAATGAATTGGTAGGATAAAATGAAGAATGAACAAATAGTATATTGTGTCATCAGGATGGCAAGCGGAGATTTGTGAGGAGTATTGCAAAGTCACACGACTCATAAACCGACACTACCGTCCGAATGATACATACTATTTTTTGTTGCGAAAGCCCGATAAGGGAGACGGGCGGGTTTGGAAGCACAGCAGCGGGGTCCAGAAGGCGCACCCCCGCGGTGGGGCTGAGGGGGGGGGGCGGAGCCCCCCCTGTAGGAATCGACGTTGTTGTAGGAAGTAACGATTCACTAACACACGTGATTCAGTTAGACAAATCACAGTTTAATAAGACGTTTAACTATATATACAAAAGTGAAGGAATGTAAGAGATATATTGTGATCCACTAGGAGGTCAGTGTACGACTGGCGAGTTGAGACAGTTGTCGCTGGCCTCAATTCGCAGGTAGAAATTCGTAAATGGAATAAATCCGAAATATACGCGTGACAGCATTGGAGCGAGAGAGATAGCCTGATGGTTGTCGTTCAGCCGTCGATCATCTCTTGCTCGGTGTCCGTGGCCAGCGCGTGAGTGTGGGTGGATGTAGCGAGGCGCTACATGACTCCCCTGCTTAAGTGAAAAAGGAAGTTTTTCAGAGCTGTAACGGAAAATGATTATTCTCAGAACAGGTGAAATGTAATAAAGCAGGCGGAAATTTTTTTTTCCCGATAAGGAAGGTCAGTCAGGATAGACGTGAATTGTCGGTCTTCTCGCGAATTTGACGCTTTTCCTCGGCCTTTGAGTGTCGGTCGCCGTGCTCGTGCTCGGCTGCGGCTGATTCTGCTGTTGTTGAGGTTCGTCTGGTGCGTCTTGTTGCGGAGGTTGTCCTAGGACCTGGTCCATGTCCTCTGGCAGTACGCCGGTTTCAGGCGATCGATGGAGATTGGTGTGTTTTTGTAGCTTGCTAAACCTCCGGATTTGTACCAGATGACTAAATACTTGTCGTGACGACTGATTACATGGCATGGGCCGATGTATGGAGATCGGTATGCCATCCGTACGTGGTCATCGCGGACGAAAACATGAGTACACGTTGATAAATCCTTGAAGATGAACGTTGAGCGTGTACCGTGATGTGCAGCGGGGGTCGGTGCGATCTTGCGGAAATGTTCACGTAGATTTTTCAACAGGTCCGGTGCTGCCGTTTGTTGGTTTAATGGTACGAGGAATTTTCCAGGTAGACGGATCGGTTCCCCGTATGTTAGCTCGGCAAGAGTCATTTGAAGATCTTCCTTCCACGCGGATCTCAACCCTAGAAGTACCAGGCGAAGTGCGTCGTACCAAGCTTCGCCATGACATCGCAGTACTGCTTTCAGTTGGCGATGTAACCTCTCAACCAAACCATTTGATTGAGGATGAAATGGTGTTGTCATGATCCTTTTGGTACCCAGAATTCGCGTGAGCTCCTTGAACGTGTCTGAGAAGAACTGGCCGCCCTGGTCAGATGTGATCCTCAGTGGGATGCCGAAACGTGCGATCCAGTGGTAGAGAATCGCGTTGACTACTGTTGGCATCTTCGAGTCAATCAGTGGAACTGCTTCTGGGTATCACGTAAATCTGTCGACGATGGTCAAACACCAGTTGTGTCCTTTTGAGGCAGGAAGGCAGACTAGATCGACGTGTATATGTTCGAAACGTCGTGATGGTGTATCGATGTTAGCTATCGGTGTGACCGCGTGTCGTTTGATCTTGTTTTTCTGGCATTCTAGGCAGTGTTTGGTCCATTGGGAACAGTCTTTGTTTTCGTGTACCTTGGGGTCCAGGGTGAGCCATTGAATGCACCGAGCTGAAGACTTGTTTTCTCAGTGGGGCAGGAACATATGGGCGCACTGTATCTCATGACACATCACAGTGCAGTGGTTCATCCATTCCTGGGAGTTGCAAGCGGTCCCGTCGCATGTTCACGTCCGGTCGCTGGAGTAGTTGTTGGAGCTCTTGGTCGTCGCGTTGGGCATCAATCAGCTGTTGATTTGTGACAGCGGTTGTGACTGCATCTACTCGTGACAGGGCGTCTGCCACAACGTTGTTTGGGCCCGCGACGTATCTTATGTCTGTGGTGAATTGGACAATGTAGTCCAATCTTGTGTATTGCCAGGGTGAAGCTCGTTCTGGTTTCTGTTGGAAAACATGAGTCAGCGATTTGTGATCGGTGAAAATGGGCACATGGCGTTCTTCAAAGATGTGTCTGAAGTGCCGTACCGCCTCGTAGATTGCCTGCAAGTCTCTGTCGTAAGCCGCGCGTTTCTGCGAAGAAATTCCAAGTTTCTTACTGAAGAAGGCTGACAGTTGCCAGGAACTGTGATGCTTCTGTTGCAGAACAGCGCCGACCGCATGATCCGATGCGTCTGTGAAGATGGCCCACTCTGCCTCGATATTTGGGTGAGATAACGGAGTGGCCTCTGCTAGCGCTTGCTTGCTACGCGTGAACGCTTCTTCAAGGGCTGGAGTCCAGTCTATCGGATGTTTCCCCTTGACGTTCGTATCCTGAGTCGCGGCGTTGAGCGGGGCGAGGATCTCTGCTGCTCCCTTGATGAACTTCCGATAAAAATTCAGAGTGCCGAGCTATCTGCGTAGTGATTTAATCGTCGTTGGCCTTGTGAACTCCAAAATCGCTGTGACTCGATCCTGGGGGGGTTTGATACCTTGAGCGTTGATCACATGTTCAAGGAAAAGTACTTCTGGCTGTCCGAGAACTGATTTGGCGACGTTGATTATCAGCCCGTAGTCCTGAAGTCGTTGGAAAAGAATCCTCAGGTGCTCGCGATGTTGCTCTGCGTTTTCCGATGCTACCAAGATGTCATCTGTGAACGGGAACAAAAGTGGCAGATCGCGTGTGACTTCATCGATCAAACGTTGGAATGTCTGAGCTGCGTTTCTGAGGCCAAAGATCATGTATGGGAATTCGAAGAGTCCAAATGGCGTGATTATCACTGTTTCTGGATGTCTTCGGGTGCCACTGGAATTGGGTTGAAAGCTTTAACCAAATCTATGGTGGAAAAAATTGTTTTGCCATGGAGATTGGCAGCAAAATCTTCTAGGTAACGAACAGGATACTTATCTGGGATGGTCCTGTCGTTGAGTGCGCGGTAATCGCTGCACGGTCTCCATCCGCTATTTCTTTTCGAGGCTAGATGAAACGCAGATGCCCAGGGGCTCTCGCATCTTCTCGCGGTTCCCAGCTTCAACATACTGGAGAACTCGGACTGAGCGATTTTGAGCTTATCTGGTGCTATGCGATGAGCTCTGCAGGAGACTGGTGGTCCTGGGGTGGTTCTGATGTGATGGAGACTGGAGTGCTCCGCTTTTCTGAGCAATCCCTCTGGTTTCGCTATTGCCGGAAATTCCTTAAGGATTGACGCATACGGTGAATCTTCCTTGATCTCGAGGAGCTTGACAGACGTGGCGTGGGATCGCGCGGATTGGCCATTAGATTGGAGGCCTGTTGAGCCGTCAATGAGGGCTCCATTCCTCAAGTCCGGTAGCAGACTGAAGTGGTGCAGGAAGTCAGTACCGATAATGGGTTTACTGACGTCTGCTTCTACGAATCGCCATGTGAAGTCTCTGCGGAGACCGAGATCCGGCGAGATGGACGCGTAGCCGTACGTGTCGATGAGGGTGCCGTTGGCTGTGAAGAGTTTGTAACCGCTGCTGTCCCTCTGGTTTGCTGGCCGCTTGCAAGGCGTGACAGAAACGTCTGAGCCTGTGTCTACGAGGTATTGGATCCCAGTCGTCCTATCGGTGATGAACAGGCGGCGAGATTTCGAGTGAGGTGACTTCCGCCACTATCGTCCCTCTCTGGAGTTTCCTTAAAACTTACAACCAGGTTGACAGTTATGCGCATTATCACCATACTTGTAGTGATACCAGCAGATGTCGAATTTCTTTGGTACTTTCCTGGAGCTGAAGCGTTGGCGTGAGTTGCTGCGATGTCCACGCGAGTGATCTGAACGTGTGCGTGAACGCGAACGTGAATCATGCATTCGCAACTCAGCAACAGTTGCCGTCAGCTGTTCGATTCGCTCGAGGAGTGCTGTGTTGGTCGCGTTGTCAAATGAGGTAGTGATGGCTGCGACGCTGCTCGGGTGGAATACCTCGTGTACTCTGTCTGCCAGCTTCGCCAGGTCCTCAACGCTTGCGTTTTCCTGAGTTGCGAGCGTGGCTCTCGTCTGCTCGGGAAGATGAGATAACCAACGTGTTTTAAGGATCTCGTCGTCAATACCTGGAACAAGGCTTTTCAAGTGTCTGAGCTGCTTTGATGGGGTGCGGTCTCCAATGCTCTCATTGTCGAGTAATTGGATGATTTTCGCGGTCCTAGATTTTGTAAAGCATTTAATTAGTTCTGTTTTCAGGGTTTGGTATGGATGTATTACAGGTCTGGAGACAATCAAATCTTCGACTTCTGCTGCATGAGTTGTATCGATTAATATTACTGTTTTATTGTACTTATCTATCTCGGTTACAATCCCGATATCAGCAAACGGCGTCTCCAGCTGCGCGATCCATAGCGCGGGCTTTTCGGCGTTGAACGGCCTCGCAATGAGTTTTGATTTCATCGTGGTCATGGCAGTTATCAGTGTGTTGATCGTTTGAATGTCGGGAGACGTGGTCACCATACCGATTTTAAAATAAAATTCGGAGAGAAATAAAATTGAAAGTATAATGTGACCAAAATAAAGGCGGTATAAGTCTCTATTTATCATCAACACCACACAACGTCTCTGGGTGCTCAGCAATGTGTCGGTGTGAGGTCACAATAGTCACTCGGGTATAGCACTTTGTTTTGATTTTTCGGGGCCACTGAAAAAACCACGGATGACGCTCGAATATTCTAGAAGCTTCGAGATGCCGATGGAAACTGCTGTAGCGCGGGCTACGCAACGAAATTAATTGATTTTCAGAAGCGTGGCACTAATTTAAATTACACTCGCGGGATTTTATGCGGTACTCGAAAGACTGAAGCGCACGTGTTGGCCAGGGAAATGGATTTAAACACGGAGACGCGAGAATGGACTTTCGGTTGAAATTGCACGCACGTGGTCGCGAGAAATTTTTCACTTTCGTTGTACAAAACGTCGAATTTTCCTAATCAGATCACGTCGGGGTCACCAATGTAGGAATCGAGATTGTTGTAGGAAGTAATGATTCACTAACAGACTTGATTCAGTTAGACAAATCACAGTTTAATAAGACGTTTAAATATATATACAAAGTAAAGGAATGTGAGAGATATATTGTGATCCACTAGGAGGTCAATGTACGACTGGCGAGTTGAGACAGTTGTCGCTTGCCTCAATTCACAGGTAGAAATTCGTAAATGGAATAAATCCGAAATATACGCATAACAGCTTTGGAGCGACAGAGATAGCCTGATGGTTGTCGTTCAGCCGTCGATCATCTCTTGCTCAGTGTCCGTGGCCAGCGCGTGAGTGTGTGTGGATGTAGCGAGGCGCTATACCCCCACACTGAAAAGAACCAAATGACAAAATGAAAAAAAATACTTCGAAAAAAATTAGAATTGCCTTGCCGCAAAAATAACTAATAATTAACAAATTTAAGTATTAATACTTAAAAAATGGGGGAGGGCTTTTTCAACTTTCCTCCTCACCAAAAAGAATTTAAAAAAATAGTGGAGCTGCTGAATTTTTTAACAGAATCTGCCAAAAACTAATGGAAAGTTCAATAGAAATTCAATATAATTTTCTAGCGAATTGACTAGGTTTTCCTGTGAAATTTTTCCGTACATAGGAGAACATCAAAAGACTTTTTTTTAATTATTGGAGTTTTGATTATATTGTTTGCCAACATTTTAAAAGAAAAAAAGAATGAAATATGTTAAAAACTTAGATTCACCTAAATTGGAAACAAAAATTACAAGTTTCGCCATGAATATGCGAAAAAGTAGGATGATTGGACTCTGTTCTCCCAGAAAAGATGAAATATTTTTGCATAAAAGAGAAACACATAATTTTTTTCCGACCAAAACTCCCAAAAAAGAATGAACAAGATGGCATTCCACCTGTTCTGTTACCGACAGGGTACATAGAATCGCTCAATTGCAGACCCCAAGCGACACTAACATGTTTCATGTTTCATTTGTACAATAGTTATGAGGGTTATGCATCTAGTATCTGTATGATTTTACGAACCAACGATCGCTAAGCCTCACTTACCATACCTGGTCTCGGTTTACGGTATCGTCCCGCTAAACGCCATTTACCCTCCCCCCCTGAAAACAGCCATCGTAAGTACCACTTATCGGGCCTCAGTGACGAAAAATAAAATAACCGCCACACTCGAAAATTTACTCTTTGCTTCTGGGACCGAAAACCGCGATTTAATCGAGCGAAGCAAGGTTAAAATCGCGGTTTACAGGGCCTAGTGACGAAAAATAATTAAATTCGTTAGAATTATAGAATCCGCACGGTCGTCGGAGGGGGGGGGGAAACCTTCCCAGGAGACCAAAGAACGACGGTACAATGAAGGTATAGCGTCGTTGTTGCGTGGTTGATTTTTA